CCCAGGAAAAAACAGGGACAAATGTGAAAATGCAAGAAAAAAAAAAAAAAAACGTCTAGAAAACTATGTTTGAACATTTGAAAATATTTGACTTTTCAAACTCAGAAAATTTCCAAGAGTTGAAAAGGTTAATATTTTGAAATTTGGACATTTTTTATGATTTTTCAAGAAAACATGTGACATTAATTTCAACATTTCTGAGATTTTGTGACTGGAAATGTGCTCCTCTTTTTTTCCATCTACAATGGCCCTCTTAAATATTCCCTATTAAGTAAAATTGATTATTATTAAACTGCTAAAACTGACTTCCTGCTGAGCTCAGTAACAGACTGCATTAACTCTCACACCACCAAGACCATTTTACTTCCACAGAGCAGTCCACATGTAACAAACCTCAATCATCAGCCCTGATACAACAAAAGAGGCAACGTTTCAAACAAATGTAACTGCAGAAATACCCAGAGATCTTCACTCTCACAGCAGCTAAGACCCATAATGTGGACTTCCTGTGTGAAGGCCTGCTTTTAATGAGTCACACCAACTCTTTTTATTGTCATGTTAAACCTACATCCATCATATCTCATGCGGTTCTCTGTTGCATCCCCCACTGTGTTGCCACAATGCTGATTTTACTCGTGTGTTTGAAGAGGAAAATAAAAAGTTCCACAGTGCTCTAATGCAAAAGTGCAAAACAAAAATGTATTCCACAGTTTTTTTTTTTTTTGCGTTATCCTTTGTTAATGCTCCGGCTCAGCACACCTCATTTGCATAAATTGCATAGTGGCCAATTTAGTTGAATCGTACTTAAAAACTTAAAATAAAACACTTATTCAGAAAGAAACATTACGCAATTAGCAGCATGCAATATAATAATGCTATCTATCTAAACCTCAACAAAACTACTAATTGAACAAATAAGTTTTCACAGTAACTGAATATTTTATACATTAACTTGGCCTCCACACCCACACCGAGGCTAAAATGGAGCATTTGTGTCCTGGGTGCACCAATCACTTCAGGTTATCTCTGTGCCATTTGATCTAAATTACCCTGGAATGTGGTTCACAAATTCTTCACCTGACAGTCTGCCACACACAGCAAGCCCAGTGTAAGAAGATTCCTTCAGGCCAGTCAGAGCATGCATGAACACACACACACACACACACACACACACACACACACACACCACACACACACACACACACACACACACACTCACACACCCACACACACACACACACACACACACACACACACACACACACACCCTCACGCACGCATATGCACACTGACGAACACACCCAATTGTTGTCTCACTCACACTTTTATGTAAACACAAATGCACCACTGGGAACTATCAAGCCCGTCACAAGCAGAGATTAGGGATGAGTGATACAGCAGGTGAGATGGACAGATGAGCTAACTGAACACCCACAGTCAGCAGCAACATGCAGCTACTGTGATATCTCTGTTTGTAAGATTCCTTCTCACACGCTCTCCTGATGGTAGTGAGGGTCAGGGGCCTCTCATTAGTCCTGTAGCTCTGAGCCAGAGAGGATTAACGTCACAGTAGCTTTCCCTCATCTGTGTGACTCGTAGATATGGTTCTGTGAGCTGTGTGTAGAAACCAAAGGGGTGGAAGAAATGTACGACAACGCATTAGGGCCACAGTAGAAAGGTTATTTTTTAACAAAAAGACATACATTTCTGCCAAAAAGCTCTGACATTTTGAGATTCATCTTCGAAATAATCTAGAAAAACTCAAAAATTTCAGAGTTTCAAAAGTCAAATGTGTTTGACTTTTGGAAGTCAAGTTTTGGGAATAACAGGCTAACAAGTTAACCATTAATAACAAGTCTTTGATTAATTTCAAATAAATAAAACAAAAAAATCACAATGTGACATGAATGTAACATGTAACGCAACACGTAGTAGAAATGTAGTTGAGTAGAAAATACAGATTCTGAATGTAAAAAGTAGTGGAGTACAAGTCAAAAGTACCCATCATTAAATCTACTGCACTTAAGTAAAGAACAAATACATGAAACATGTACTTAAGTACAGCCAAAAAGTCCTTTTGCTTCCCTACATTTCATCACTGGTGTTTGGACTGAACCTCAACTCTAAATGACTATGAAGCAAAGTTATGATTGAAGCGATTTGATAAGAACCACTGCAACAAACTGGCGACCTGTGCGGAGTGTACAACCCTCTCACCCAAAATGTCTGGAGACAAGCAACAGTACCACTCCTGGACAATGATATACAGAAAATGGATGGATGGATGGATGGATGGATGGATGGATGGATGGATGGATGGATGGATGGATGGATGGATGGATGGATGGATGGATGGATGGATGGATGGATGGATGGATGGATGGATGGATGGATGGATGGATGGATGGATGGATGATAAGAATTGCTGAAAGGGAAGCTTCTGCTCAAAATACAGCAGGCATCCAGGCCTCACACAATAAAAGTGTGAGAGGAGGCAGAGTGTATCTGACTATACCATGTAAAAAAAATGTAGCCAGTCTTCTCGCTTCTCCCTCTGGCCAATAGTGAGACTGTAAAATATGTATTTATTTCTAGCTGTTTAGACTATTGTAACACCGGCTCTCTGGTTTCCCTATTTCCCTATCCCAATTTGTCCAGCTTTCACCCATCACAAAACTCTGTTGCTCCTGTGCTGATTGAGACCAGAAGACAAACTCATCTGTTTTAAAATCATTGCACTGGCTCCCTGTGCAATGAGGTTTTTAAATGTTTTTTAGTGGTTTTTAAATGTGTTTGTGCCATCCTTCACCGTAGAGCTGCTATTAATGGTGCATAATCTTATTTTTCCCTTTTGGTCTTGTTTTCATGCTTTTTTTTAAAAAAATTTTTACACATGTACCCATTTTGATTCATCGTGAATCTCCTTGTGCTGAAGGCTCAATGGCAATAACAGAAAGGCTTTTGATAACAGAAAATAACAGAAAATGTAGCAACTGAAGTCTGTTCAGTTGCTACATTTTTCTAATATCTGAGTGTTTTCTCATATCTTTTTCAATTTTGATTGGGGATATTTATTCATTTCAAACAGACAAGAAGCAAAAACAAACAAACAAACAAACAAAAAAGCCAAATAACTGCCATTTTACATTATTCAAACAGGCGTATGTAGAAGATACAAGGTCTAATGTATCTTCTTGTGGGTTTATCGTCTATCATTCTGTATGGCCCTTTGAGCTGCTTTTAGCATGAAGGATGCTTTATAAATAAAATTGACTGATTGTTCGGTTGATTGATTTCGCAGCAATCTTTGCCTGAGGACACGCTGTCAGTGAGAGCCTGGAAGCCACAGCTTGACCCAAGTTTCTAACTGAAAACTGTCTGCCGTGCACATGATTTACATCCTCGTAACGTCAGTTTCATGCAGCTAAAACCTGGTGAAGGCTTGGAATCAGATTGCTTAAAGGGAAGAAGCCAAACAGGAGGAGACAGTCTGATGACCGGGCAATGTGTGCGAAGGAGACCTTGTGTTCAGCCATTTCTGTGGCTGATATTAACTCAATAACGTCTTCCACTCGCGTATCTTCCTTATTAAAAGTACTTATATTTCAGACAGCAGCACACTAAGCTTGGATTTGAATCATTACTGGAACTCATAGCGATGTGGAGCCTTGAGAAAAACTGAACATCCCAATCAGCCCTTCATTAAGCAACAGCGCTCCCTGGTGGTGGTTTATGGAAGTGTTTTGTTTTGGTTTTTTCCTGTGGTTTATTCAAAGTCCCTTTTTAAAACACATACAGCTTCAGACAAGTACAGAGACCAGAGAGCCAGTCTGATGACATGGGAGAAAAAAGTCAGTAGCAACGACTTTCTCTAATTAAGTTGTTCTCATAAAATATTAAGTCGTACCCATGAATTAAAAAAGGAGTTCCCACAAGTTATTAAGTTTTATTCACAATTTTTTGTCACCAGAAGACAGGCTCCATATAGACAAGAAATTTATTCCTAGATACTTCTTGGTCTCACTACATCAGTTCATTCCACTGTATTCAGTTCCTCATTTTATGCTTACATTTGATTCTTTATGCATTTTCAGAGATTTTGTTTTTATGTCCTCCTCAGCTCATCTCATGTTTATCAGTCTCCTTCCCTCAGCCTGTCTCTTCAGCCTCCCCTCACAGCTACACCCTGTCCCCATCCATAACTTGTCTAGTTTTTTTTTTCATTCAATGTATTTATTAATGTCATGCATTATCATATGATGATGCATAGACTTACAGGGTATTACACATCTTAAACATTTAAAAGGAAATGAAGAAGGCCACTGAACAAGCTTGCCAATGAAGCATCATTTGTTTTCTTCAGACAAATAGAATTTTTAAGATAAGCTGGGTTCATTTTTGCTCACAATCTGTTTCATTTTAAAGGCTGTGGCAGATGCAGTTCAGCATATTTTACATCTCACTCAGGATCGGCTACAGGATCCAATTTGTTGCAGTAAAGCTGCAGGTCAGATATTTATCACATTTAATGACATATTTCTTTAAGTCTCTCAATGTGATCAGTAGTCTTCAAAAACTAAGGTATTCTTTATCTTCAAGTTGAAGGTGAAGTTGAAGGGTTCAACTTTATTTAACTGAAATAAATTATGCTTGAAACTCGGTCCAAATACTCTGCAGATCCATGACCCTCATTTGATTCTCATACTTCCAAAATCCCACAAACACATGTTCCAGTTTCCTCAACACTACACAGTTTAGGACGCTTCTCCAGAAGGTCCCAGTGACTCAGAATAATCTCTTCTTTCCTTGTGACCTCAGCATTAAGCTGAATGTTGTATCAATGTTTGGCTTTTCGCACATTATCCCACTAAAACTGCTACTGCCGTGTGGTTATAGTTGCAGTTCCGTGTTCCATGTTGAGCTTCAGTAACATATGCAGTGTGATTATCAGCTGCCGCCAGCTGACCAATCCTGCTCGGCGGGGCGTGACGTCAGCGCTGCCAGCGTGGAATGGACGTCGTTCGGCAGGTCCAGGAAGTAAACTGTCCGGTTCTGCCAGTGGTAAACAGAAATCTCCTACGGAGACAGGTTATTTAATTCGCAATAAATTCAAAACTGGCGACTTAATTTTTTTTTTCTACGGGCTTTCCCTGAGACTTCTGCAGGGGCTCCCTCGGGTTACCTAGCAGCGAATTCTCTGCTTCCCTTTTCACCGAGCGCAGGTGTCAAGCTGTCAGCTGTGGACTGCAAAAGGTAAGGAGCGCGTGCTGTGGGAAGCTAGGAATATGATGTGGGGTTTGTTTCAGCTGGGATAGCGCGCTGCTGGTTCCGTATGTCCGAACCCCAGCTCATACCGAGGGTCTGAAGGAGAGTTAGCCGCTGACTGGGCTGAACCGCTGCGAGTTCCACCTGAGGAGTGAATGACTATGGGGATGATAATACAGCCAGCATATCAATGACCTGCATAGAGCCTAGAGCCCCGCTGCTCTGCCTAATATTCTGGGCCAGATATTCAACCAACTAACAAAAAATGAGTTGGCGTTGCTCATTTAATTCGTCATATATCCAGCTTTTAGTCGATCTTCAAATTTATATGCCATACCTGTAAAAGTGTTAGTACCTTTAAGGCCTTTTTTCCAGATTAGAACCGAAAATGTAATTGTGTTTAATCAAAAATGTTAAATATTTGTTTTAATAAAATAAATATTCAAGCTGGCAGCCTGCAGGTTGGTCTCCAGCAGCATTCCTTATCTAGGTCAAAACGTTTTTTTTCTGTTCTTACAAAAAAAAGTGCATCTCCACCTCAAGCCTCAGTACTGATTGTTTTTATTCTCAGGATTTCTCTGAAAACTTTTATCTCAAATAAAAAGAGCATCCCCACAGCATGATGCAGCCATCACCATGGCTACTGGACATTTACAATTGTTTTTTGTGACCAAAACACTTTTTTCTCACGTTTGGTGTGTCTCTAACATAGCTCATAAGTATATGAAACTTTTGGCCAACTATTATTTGTTATTGCACTTTATGAGATTTCACTTGTACTATCTGCACTTTTTGCTTATGCAAGAGAATAGAAACACAATAGAGTAGAATACAAACAACCTTCATTGTCCGCAAAAGGGAAATTCAGGAGCAAGAGCATTGTGATGCCTCAATATAATTTTGGTCTTATAACAATGACTATAAATGTATAAATATTTTATATTATATATTGACTAACAGTTGTCTAGTCAAACAGGTTCTTCCACCTTTGATGTGGATCTTTGCAGCTTCCTCAGGGCTTCTTTGCTGCTTCTCAGATCAACTCTCTCCTCAGGCCTTTTGTCACAGGCCACGGCCCCCTTCGGCCCGGCCCTATTGTACTCCGGCCCTGGTTGTGTTTGCATTGAGCAGAGAGTTGCTTCAGACTCTCTTCCTCTTGGAGCCGACTGAAGCAATCTCCGCACACTTTTTCTTTAGTTCCTCCTTCTGTGAAGAAACTGAGGAAAAAATGAATAATGAAAAAAAACAAATATCTGAGTATTATCTCTAAGCAAGATTAGCATATGATCCACCACTGCAGCTTGCAGAATTTTCTCTGGATCAAGATTCTGTGATCTGGAAACCCCTCGTTCACAGAGTCTTACCCACTTCTGATCTCTTCACTTGGAGGAATGTTCCCTGATTTTAGCTCAGCCCAAAACTTTGGCTGAAGTGGACCTTGCCATTCTAGTCTGGCACAAAGTGCGGATTCATCCTCCAGATCAACATGAAAATCCTGAGACATTTGATTAAGTACCAGCAGGTGGACATAATTTAAGGTCAATCGTTAAATTTGATTATTTACGCATATCATAATCGTGACAAAGACTACAGTCAGTAGTTTTTGTCACGAACTGTGTTTCCATTACAAGTGTATGCAAATCTTTGTGTATATTCTGCCGTTGAAAAAACACACTTTTGCAATTGTGGTGCTTCCATTAAGTAATAGATTCAATTAAAATTATGTGAATACATTTGTTCATGTAGTATGTCATTAACAATCATTTCAGTGATGGATGTAAACAGGTAGATAAATTCATAATTCAGTCATGGTGCTAGCGATCGTTATCTGTCAACCAATTAGAGGAGACTTTGGTGTCTTATTTAGATGTTGGAGCAACAAGCTCCGCCTACTTGGGAGCAGCTACAGTTTTGTGAAAATTGTTGTCGGTGAATTTACAGAAGAGTTATAGGTTCAACATGTTGGAAAGACGCACAATATTTTGTGAGCTGTGCGACGCTGTGAGAGCTCTGGTGGAGCCAGCTGCACACTCTCTGAAAAACTAAAACAACCCTTCGTCATCCTCCTTCCTGTTGTCTTCCTATACTGGTGATGTTATTTTCACCAATAGTAACATCCGGTTGTCGATCACCTGACTCGTGATGCAAAAAAGTGTTTCCATTACAGTTTTCCAAAAGACATCTATTTTTTTTTTGATACAGCTGAGAAACCACCTCATTCTATTACAAAAACATGAATTTTTCTGAAATCAGCATGTAGAATTTCAAGTAGTGCAATTCTAAAGTTAATAAAAAGGCAGCTACAGTGGAGAAAAAGTTTCAGGTATATGAGGCTAACTTTTAAAGACATTTGTTAGACGTCTGAAAGCAGTACAACAGTATAAATGTGATGCCAAACTTTTTTGACAATGCATACATTTCCTTTTACTTCACAGTTATATGCTACTTTATGGTGGTCTGTTGGTTCATTGTGTGCTTCATTTGTGAATTCTTCTCAACTCTCCTTCAGGAAGCAAAGCCTCTTCCTTGATCATGGTAGATGCTGCTCTGGCTCAGGTGGGAAAGAACCTGAGTGAAGCCATGAGGATCCTTGGAGATGGACAGATGTAGGGTTCAACATTATCTTTTTATAATAAGGAAGTAGGGGGCGAGCACTTCTTGAAGGATTCATGGAGCTGTGTGTGTGTGTTTAGGGAGCCAGACGCAGGAATGGAAAGCCGACGTTTCAGTAGAACCAGTATCCCCGGACCTCTACAGGGAGAGTAAGACACTTACACACACATGTTGCATCTTTCTATTTTCACATGCACTTTGCATTGACTTCCATTCATTTTTCATTGATTTCAGTTGACTGACCCTAAAACCTATCAGTACAGACCCAACGCTAACTCTAACCAAGACTCAATTCACACCATAGTCCTAAATCTAACCCCTGACCCAAAAGCAGTGTTTCCCTTGTGTGGACCAGGTTTTATTCCAGCTCAATCCTTGTGTGTGTTTCATTCTTCAGGGTGTCCTGCAGGTATCTATCTATTCTCCCGGATGCTGTTTTAAAAACCTGTTTGTATTGTTGTGTTTAAAGAGGGCTGTGTGTTTGAAGAATGATTTTTTTTTATCAAGACAATGTTGATCTGGAAAAGAAATGTAAACTTTAACAAGTTAAGTGACATAACAGTTTCTCAGGATGTAAAACATGATAAAAATCCCCACATTTACTGGTACTATTGAAATCCACTGAACCTTGAACCACAGGATGCTTTAATTATCTCTAGGGTACAACTCTACATCGGAATGCTTTAGAATGGAAAAGCATGGTGTTATTGGATGTGTCTAAACAGGAACAAATTTCAGATTTAACAAAAATTTCTTAAATAAATGGTAAATGGCTCCCTCACTCAGCTCCTTCAGACGAGCCAGCTTTCTCAGTTCCAGACCACAAAGCACTCCACACTACATTCAGTCATTCACCCATACACACATATTGGCACATTGATTGTGATGAGCTGCTGGATAGTAGCCTCAGCTGTGCTGGGGTAGTTTGACAGAGGCCATCCCTCTGTTCACCACGAGCAACAAGCAACGTGAAGTGTTACCTACATTCTGTTCTGCATTAGTCATGTTTGATGACTGAAATGACGTCCATTAACCCTCTAATGTTATACAGGACCTGAATTTTCTGCTGGAAATAAACTGGCTTCATGTTATGTGGCAACTGTGGCTCACTGGATACAACTATTGTCTTCTATTTACAAAGATGTGCATTCAAGTTGTGTTTCATCTGCAGTGGGCAGGATGTAACCACAATACTGCACCTTGTTCACCACCTCATCCATGAAGAGGAAGATGAAGAGGATGGGAGGGACAAGGCCAGCCAGCCGTAAGCAGAACTGATCACTGATCGAAGCTTAGTGGTGCACAGATATTTATGTGTGCTGTGCCCAGCAGGATCCAGAATGTGGGGGAACAGGGTCACATGGCCTTGCTGGGCCACAGCCTGGCAGCATACATCTCCGTGCTGGACAGAGAGCGGCTCCGGAAGCTAACCACTCGGATTCTGTCTGATACTACGCTGTGGCTCTGCAGGATCTTCAGGTAAACCCTGCCGCACCCGCCGTCATTTAGGCCACAGCATTCAGGTTTAATGGAAAGCCTTAAATAGGTCTTTGTCAAGTGTTAGACAGGTACAATATCAGCATCCTAACTCCTGATACCTTACCTTGTGAAAATTTGATTGATCAATCAATCAAATTTTATTTGTATAGCACATTTCAGCAGCAAGGCATTTCAAAGTGCTTTACATCATAAACACAAAAACACAAAGTCATGCAACATAGAAAAAACAGTACATTAAGTCAAGTCATACTTCAAATACTTTTTCACATTTTCTCACATTACATTTGTAATTACATTGTATTTTATACGACTCGTATGTAATAGTACAAGGGTCTGTATCCATCTGGTCCAGTGATGCATGTGAATCTTTGAACCCACCACAATTACACTTCATAATTTTGGTCAGATATTTAAAATGGAGTAGTTTTGTTGTTGTTTTTTTATTATTTATTTATAAGCATATTAAAGAGGCTGTATGATGTAAATTCTACTTTTTTTATATACCTTTTCATGCATGTTTGCGAAATCATTTAATCTCCATGGCAACCATTCAGTTGTGCAAAACACCCAGGTGAACCTGGGCTTTGGGATTCAGCTGCAGCTGAATCGCTGTGCGTCTGCCTCACAGAGCAGCCCTCTCATAACTCCCACAACTAACTTTCTTCCTTCCTTTCTTTTCAAAATTCTGTATTAAGTTTGATCAGTTTTGGAAGTGTTTTAGGTTTTTTTTAAATGTCTCTGTGTAATGTAACGAAATTTTAAAACGCTAATTTGTTATAAATATTTCTGCAAGACACCATATTCCATGGCACTCAGAGCTTGTAATGTTTTTTTTTTTTTTGTAGTTTTGAAGAATTGTCTGAAATTATAGATACTGGACTAATCCCTTATCTACAGCTTATCAAAAATAGTTTGCATCATAACAATTTGGGTTCACAGATGGAGTTTATGAGCCTGCTTAATGTTTCTCAGTGATCACATCTACATCCATCACCTGACTATCGTGCAGGTATGACAATGGCTCCGCCTATTTCCATGAAGATGACAGGGATGGCCTTGTAAAGGTCTGTCGGCTCGCCATCAACGCCCGTTACGAGGAATATACAACTGAAGGCTATGCTGCCTTAAACTCCAGACAGCCAGTTATCTACCAAAGCGCCTCCTGCAGGCCTGGCCTGGGACAACACGTATGCAACCAGGTGGGTGGAATCCATATAGAAACAAATATAGTAGAAATGTCTGCGAGACATTGTACTACAGTGATGTTGTTTTAGCCGGACCCTATGAACCAAGCCCTGCCATTTAGATATGCATCTCCTCCTCTCAGCTGCAGTTTCCAAACTTTCACCTCTCCCTCACTCAGCTCCTTCAGACGAGCCAGCAGCAATTAATTAGCAAACACTTGGTGGAACTGGGCATCAACTGATCTCTGATAGGAGCCACTTCTCAGCGCAACGCTAGTAAAAAATTAGTTAAAGGCTTATTCGAGGAGTAATGTGGTGATGACTTCCTAAAGGTGGAGTTTCAGAAAGAGCGGGAGTTTTTAAAGAGACTTTGGCCCAATTTCAAGTAGTTAAATTAAATATCAGAAGAAATATTATATTTCTTTTAAGTCATATTTGATAGATACAGGATTTTTATGAGAATTGAAAGTAAGATAGTTTCTTGATTATGTATAAAATGGAACTATATGCCTGCAAAATACATAATGCTGTCCTTTAAAGCTGAATTCTGAGACACTTGTAACATTGTAAAATGTAACTGAAAGTGCTGTCATGTTGGTCTCTGGACTTCTGCTGCACAGTTGTTTTTCCTCCAGCTAGATGCACACCTCTTTGATATCGCTGCATGTTCTCTAATGAGGATTTAAAATCACTTTTGTTGGAGAGTTCCACACAAAGTGACCTGATGGTGAGAAGTCTGTGGTTTTAAATGAGACAAAATAAGGATATATAACATAACAGTCATATGATCCCAATCATCATGCTAATCTGGAACACAACAGCTGGAAAAACAGTCATTAATTTGAAATGGCCCAGTCTAAACTTCACTTGAAATAAAGTGGTGGGACCAATAATTGTCAGACCAGGATAAATGGGTGTAGACAGTTCATTGTTTATCATGAGGATGTGGTGTAAATGTCAGCTCACTGTTCTGTCTTCATAATGTTCCTCTTAGCATGACTGCACACATGTGAGGCTAACGAAACCTCTGAGAGCACCTTGATTCAAACAGTGACTGAATCATTTCTTAATGTCTAATTTTAAAGTCAAAGACTATCTGTTGCAGTCAAAGAAAACATGATTTTCCTCTGTCTCTATTAGCTTGGCTTGCCTCTGTCCAGCCTGTGCACAGTGCCATGTAACACCATCTTTGGATCCCAGCACCAAATGGTAGGAGGAAACAAATGGAGAAGCATCCACCTCAAATGGCTCACTGAATATAAATGTGAAAATAAAAATGCTTTTGACTTCCAGGATATTGCCCTGTTGGACAAGTTGATCAAAGAGGACACAGACGCTGGGAAGCTTCCTTTGCTGCTGATCGCCAACGCAGGTGAAGATCAGACTGTTCCAAAATATTTATATCCATGTGTTCAACACCAGAAATTCTGCAACAGTTGTTTAGAATTTTCTTTTAAAACTGACAATGAATTAATAATGCAGTTTTGTTTCTGCTGATTCGCCCTCTCAGGGACCCCTGAAGCAGGTCATACAGACAAACTGAGTCGCCTTAAAGAGCTGTGTGACCAGCATGGTATATGGCTTCATGTGGAGGGGTAAGTCTGCGCTGATCCTCAGGCCTGAAATACCTCATCAACATTTAGGAATTATCTTTATTTCAAACAAGAAAACAGAAAATGAAATACAAATTAAAAATGAGTAAAGGAAAAAAACAGAAAAAACAAGATGTACAGATCTTTTAGTTTTTGTCATATAACATTAAATTTACTCCAAAAATCTAAAGGCTTATTTATATAATGTTGAACAATGTTGAATTATATTTCACTCCAAATGTGTTGGGAGGAGTTTCTTCTCCTCATTATGAGCTGGAGAAGCTTATTAATATTGGAAAATAATTAGCTAAAGTCACTTTTACTTTTGTGTTCAACATAGTAAAGATACCCAAATTAACTACACAAATGACATAATCAAAGAGATAAATGTAGAAAGTAAATAACCGGGTGTTAAACTTCTGTATGAATGGAGCAGAAAGTGCTTTTATTTTGATCTTTTTAGCTGGAAATGTCTTTGTAATGTAGCAGCTGACTTAGCAACGAGAGATGTTGAAGGAACATTAATGTTTATTTTTCCTAAATGGTCTAAAGTTATTCAATTCAGCATTCAGTTTGAGAGACATTCCTGTTTTCATTATTAAGAAGCTACAGCTAACAGGGAAAGAGTTCTTTGAGCCATTTACATCCTGTAATAATTCACCAACACAACTGGCTAATAATCTGAAAACAAATCCAAGCTCACTTAATTTTATCTAAATTTTTATTTTGACAGCAATTACACATGTTAATCATCTTAAGTTATTTAACTTTGTTTTTCCAAACAAACTTAATAATGTGTCGGGGTGTTTTTTTTTTTCCCCTTAGGGTCAACCTGGCCACCCTGGCTCTGGTCCAGGTCACCTCTGCTGTCATGGTAATCTCATTTAATTAACACCCCCCTCTGTGTTTTCCCAGTTCATCCTTAAGAACCAGTCCTTAACTCATCAAGTTCAATCATGGTTAAAATGAATTGATTCATGTTCATAGAGCATCACCAGGTGCAGCTCCAAGTTGAACTGGTTCTCCTTAAATAATTATATTTCATCTGAAAGGAGGCTTAAAAACTCATTCTCAAATTAATGTATTATTTGTGTCTCAAATTATTTGTGCCCTGTAGCTTTCTTATTCTCTTTTGTTTTTTTTTGCTCAAATAAGCTGTATCTTGTATTGGCTGCATTTCCCAACAGCTAGTCTTGTTCCCATTTAAATGTTTTTATCAACTATATCACATCACACATCTAATTCCTGGTCCAGGGGACAACTTTGGCCCACAGTAAGTTTTCATCTGGCCCTCTATTCTCTGGGAGGACACACAAACAGAACCTTTAAGTTAACAGCTGTGTGCTTAGATGTGATTTTATCAATTAAATCAATGAAGTTTTTATCTGTTCTGCCAAGTTACATTAATGTGAAATGACGTTCAATGTAATTTCATTTTAAGAAGTATTTACCGAATGCAGATGCTGATTATTTTAGATTGTTTATTAATATTTTAGCAGTTTGTTATTGAATAGTTTTATCAATAAATCCCACTAAAGACAGGATCTGTCAGACAACTGACTAATATTCTCCTGCAGAAGTAAAAGTGAAGTTAATAATAATGCATTTTATTTGACAGTGCCTTTTAAAACACCGAAGGACACTTGACAACATTAAAAAGATAAATTAAACGGTAAAGAAATGGCTACAAGACAGAAAACCACAAAATAACTACACAGTTAAAGTGAGAAGGCTAACTTGAACAGATGAGTTTTGAGTTGTGCTTTGAAGCACAACATTAGATTGTAATCGGTGTGTTTTTCCACAGGGAGCCACCAGAAGTGACAGTATGACGCTGACACCTGGTCGCTGGCTCGGACTGCCTGCAGTAACTGCTGTCACCCTCTACAGACACGAAGACCCGGCCCTGGTAGGCTCACACCGTTCTCATTCAGACTGAGGAGGAGCTGTGGTGAAGGGTCCTTATCTCTGTGTGTGTGGTGTGCTCAGTCCCTAGCAGCTGGTCTGACCTCCAGCCAGCCTGTGGAGAAGCTGCGGGCGCTGCCTCTGTGGCTCTCTCTCCAGTACCTGGGCCACAACGGGATTGTTCAGAAGATCAGACACGCCACAGCTTTGGTGAGAATGACTTTATCTGAAACCACAGATGGATGAATGATTGTTTTTAGAAAGTATGTATTTGAATAATTTTTAAGATGCAAATGAAGAACAGCACAGGTTTATCTGTTCTCCTTAATGAAGGGATGATGAAGAAAGAAGAAAAAGTAAGACTGGAAAAATATTAATCCTGTTTTTTCGGTAGAAGGCTTCTTATTGGTTAATGAACAGGCATTCTGTAGACAAAAACATGGAGTATAAATGCCAGCATGCAGTCAATGGAACATATCTATGCCTTTGTGATATTCAGAATTATTTTCAGAAACAAAAGTTATTAGCAAGATGTTGCACTTTAATTAGTTTTTCTCCCCTGCAGAGCCAGCACCTCCTGCTGAAGCTGAAATCTGTGACCTGCATCAGAACTTCGGTACGTCTTCTCTCGAGCTCTAGGGTTGAAAATTGATTATTGAAATAATCTTCAACTAATCTAGTCAATGATTAGTCATTAACTGGAGTATACAGTCTCTAAATTAGGATATTTTGCAGTAAATAAGACAAATCTGTACTTTGCATTTAAGATTTTAAAAAATTATAATTTTTTTCCATCCAGAACTTTTCAAGTAGTATAGTTTTAGCTTTGCCTGGTTCTGATGATGTCTATAAAACATTCCTATATGAATAATTTTTTCCTATCCAATTATTAACTGGTTATACCAAGAATCAGCCATATTTTACAATAAATGAACCCAAGGGAGTTCTGAATTTGTATAACTGCTGTGCACTGACTCTGAATTATGTGACATGCAGAAGGATCATGTTCATGAACACAATGGGTTAGATCAAAACTTACCCATGTGGAACACTGGTCCAGTCAAAGTAAAGACTTAAATATAAATCTTTACTTATATTTAAGTGAAGATTTATTTAACCATACAAACCGAGGGTTAGTTTTGTATTTTGAAGGTGAAAAAAAATCTAAAAATGTGTTACGGTATAAATAAAGAAACATAAAATCTGTAAAACAAAATGACACCTTAACTTTAACAACATGGTCCAGTCTGTGTTTGCTCACATGCTCATGGATGACATAAAACATAAGTGATTGCTTTACATTCATTCTAGAATTTAACTGAATTTGTTGTTATATTTTGTTTGATCCTTTATGTTCCTGTAAACAATGGCAACAGACATATGAATAAGCAGATATTAATAAATAATATATTGCAACATGCTCATAAACAAAACCCACTTGTGTTTATAGGACGGGCTTGAGAAACAGATCTCTCTCATTGAGGCATTAAAAATGGTAATTTTATGGATTCTAAATCAGTCTTTGGGTTCAGAGCTGACTTTGAAACTTGTTCACTAGCATCTCCTGAAAGCAACTATTCAGTCCTTCCCGGGTGTTGGGACGTTTTTGGCGATTGTTGTGGTCAAAAAATTGTGGTCAAAGTTGCATATAAGAAAACGTTAGTGACTGGTCAGATTTGTGGAAAATTTCCAATGACTTGTGAAAATTGCATATGATGTGTGAATTTGCGCTAAGTTGCGATCGCAACTTCCAGGAGGGACTGTCTAGCTTGCCACACTGAGACGCGATGAAGCAAAGACGCGGTGAAGACAGTAGGGGAACCCAGTCCTAACCCAGCGGCTGGAGCTCAGCAGAGCCTGTTAGAACAGGATGCAGGTCAAAGAGTCTGCAGTTTAACCATCTCAGTGTGATCCTGTGTATCGTAGTCAGTATGGGTTACCTTGGCTCCAGGGCGCGGTGTCGCAGATCCCACCCATCTCCGGGACCTCTCTGCGGGACATTCTGGGTTCTCTCATACTCTCTATTGTAGGGTGGACTAAGCCTCTGCCTCTCACCCCCACCTCTCTTCATCCTTTTTCTTTCTATCAGTTCTGGTCCATTTTCTCTCATCTTTATCAACTCAATAAAATGCTCTCTCCATTTGCTGGCAGATTTTTCATTTCTTCCTGATTTCTTAGGGCGTGGTTTCACCCAGGCATGTGTTTTGAGAGACTCCTCATAATTACAGTCTCTTGTTGCCTCAGAAAGAAAAACAGGGTCATGAAGAACAGTTCACTGTGAAATGTGGTGTGGCGATCTGATACTGTCTACTATGGAGTAAATTGTATTACAAATTGATCTGTGATACAGAGCTTCAGTTATGTTGAGAATATTTTGTCCAATCAGTTAATTCTTTTTTTAAACAAATGCGCTTTACTTCAGACATGCAATCTGAGGTAATGAGGAGCGGATGACTGAACAATGATGCTCAGTTGAAATAGTTCCCCTTTGAGTTTAAGAAATGTTTTTATGGCAAAGTTAGTTTTTTTCCACAAATGCACAAACAGCAGGCTCATCTGAAATCTGCTTATTTTAATCTATCAAAGGTAGATTAAGATGAGCTAAGCAAGACCAACTCTTGCTTAACTTCTCATTTGACTCCTTGATAATATGAATTGTCTTTGGTTTGATTTTCCACTGCAGTGGTTTAGAATAACAATAACTTGCAGTAAATATTATTGAGCCCAGATATTTGCCAGATTTGTTTCTAAATTCTCACTACATCTGTTGATTCCAGTTTTAACTGCACACAGCTGACAGCAGATATAGGAAAAAACCTTCAAAATGTCACCATCATGCTTAATAACATGAGAAACATCGGTGATGTATTCAAGCACCCATTGCCATGTGTTCACTAGTTTTTACCCTAAATATTTTTTTTTTCACTTCTGGATGAAAATTTAATTATATAGTAACAGAGAACTCGAGTGTTTATGATTTATTTCCAAAGCACTTTTAAAAACAACTAAAACTGAACAAGTCTACAGTGGTTAATAAATATACAAAACAATTTAACAAAGTACAGAAATAACAGATGAAAAGCATAACATACAGACTTACTGTACAAATATAAAAAAAATTGTGAGAGTTACGCTTAACCAGATCAAAAGCCAAGAAATAATCAAATTAAAAAAGATTAAAAGCCCTCTGGAGTTGAGGATCAGCCTCCTCAGATGCTCTGTTATCTCCAGTCTTCAGCCTAGATCAGGGACTTTCAGCTGAAATTCAGCAATACAAAGGTGTGGGATGCCAGACTATGAAGACATTTAAAACTGAAGTTATGGAGAGCTCAGTTAGCTTATTTATGACAGTTAGTGATCAGTTCTTAGTTTGAGGATCTAATCCATCTGTGCAGCTGTGATTTCAGAATTGTAAGTTTGACTTTCGCTTGATAGGCTCCATTTCACTGTGAGCCGAAGGATCGATCCACCCTCACCATACAGAGCAGTGGCACATTTTAATCACTGTATGGGACATTTACTTACAACTGTCACGCAGTCTGTGTTTACTTGAGCTGCAACACGTCGCACCTTTTCAACTAACATGTCTTATATGATAACGAGAAGGGGTTGTGGTATTAGAGCATGTTTCCAGAGCCTGATCCATATTCTTGTGTGTTCAACAGGTGGAAGATGAACAAAACTCTCCTGTCGTGCTGTTTAAGTTTTCCCAGGAATCTAATATTGGTAAAGTTGCCACATTCTGCACAACAAGTTACTTCAGCTGACGATAGTCAGTCTGCCACAGCTGCCCTGGGGCAGACTGCCCCAGGGCAGCTGTGGCTACATTGTAGTAGCTTGTCACCATCAAATCAAGTCAACTTTACTTGTATAGCACATTTTAGCAACAAGGCAGTTCATTACATCATGACAACAACATACAGTCACCAGATGTGAAAACAAGTAATAAGCATTACATTTTGTTAAATGCCATCATCACAATCAATACGCAATACATCAAATATGTTGATGAATGTTTCATTTATTGCTATCAAAAGCAACTCTAAACAAATGAGGTTTTTTTTTTTAGATTTAAAGGAACTCAGTGTTTCAGCTGTTTTGCGGTTTTCTGGAAGTTTGTTCCAGATTTGTGGTGCATAGAAACTAAATGACCCAAACATGGAGATGTTTGGGTCTGTTTCTGGGGATGCAGAGCAGAATCAGAAGATCTGAGAGGTCTCATAGATCTGTAATGTATTTTGGTGCCATAAGCCCTGAGTGAATGTAGTGTGATGCACGCTGGGGTTTTGATAAATTGCTCTACAAGAAAACACCCTTTACACCTAACAATAAAGATCTTCTGAAATGGTGGGGCTTCATGCCTGGGTGTAGGGAATGTCCAGTGGGCACTTTTCATAAAACGATGCATGAATGCTGGGCTACGCCTTTTCCCCAAAAGCCAATATGAAGTAGCTGCTAAATGTACCTTTTTGGTTGAAAAATTATTGACTTATCAATAACAACTTGTCGAGTTCACCGCTACCACACATCCATAGAATAGAATAGAATAGAATTCAACTTTATTGTCATTGCACTGCCACATGTACAAGCAACGAAATGTAGTTTGCATCTATCCAGAAGTGCTATATTGGACATGTTGTGAGAGTCCAGGTTCCCACAGTCAAACACCTTCCACTTGTTCTAACACAAAGACCTGGTTGATGGTATCAGGAAGTCCACTGAGATCTACATTCAGCTTCTCCTCAGCCTTGAGTAGGTTTATCACCATCCATTCACCACAACAGCAGGAACACACTTTCCTTTTCTACTCACAAGAAAGAATCATGTCAATGGAGACTAGAAGCATTTAAGAGAGGGTCCCAAAAAGCAAGTGTCTTACTGACTGATGGAAATGTGAGAAATCAGTTTTTACATTTTCTTGAACATGTTTTCATAAGCTAACCACCAGATGGTGCTGTTTGGTAATGAATCAGAATTCAAGTTCTAAATGTTTGAATGGTGAATGATGAAAGCATTGTAATAATATCATGTCCTTTGTTTCCTCATCTGTTGTGTGTAAGGAGGCAGTGGGGGGTCTGTGGACGGTTTGTGTGCTGGAGAGAAGGAGGTACTGGATTCCTTCAACGGATGGGTGAGGTTTTCCTTCTAGTTTTAGAAATGGCAAAGGTCATGGTATGAGAAAGAAACAAATGTAAACTTTGTGTGTCCTGCATTAAGGATAGAGAAGAAATTAGTAACAATATATATTATGGTAGACTCAATATCAATAGATGATGCATCTGATAGAATATTCAATCATTTCACTGAACTCTGATCCAGACCCGCACAGCATTCTGGGAAATGTAGGCAGAGGCAAGGCGAGTTAAATAAGATTGGTGGCATCAACAAGCTCACTCACTCTTTGGTTACCTATCATCTCACTTGGTTACCTAGCAACAACCTGTTGATTAACTTGCTCTGAAGCAGTTTAAGGTTTTGTCACCATGACACATAATTTCTTAAAAATGAATAACTGCCACATAGAGCTGAGGTCATATTTCAAATATTAAAAACAAAACAAAAAAATCAATCAATAATTACCTATATCGTCTGATATGAAACGTTTACATCATCCAGTCAAAGCTGCTCATTTTAGGGCATCATACGAAGAATAAAGATTTTCTGAGCTTCTTATCACCACATATTTTGCCACATATCTACAGTATGAATGTTTTTAGCGACCTAAAAATATTCTGTACTGGTCCAAATGCAGATGGGTGAGCAGCTTGCTCAGCTGGTTCCCTCTAGTGGAGTGGATGTGGTAGAGCTAGAAGATGAAGGGACCTGTGTGCGTTTCAGCCCCCTCCTCACAGCTGCAGGTAACAGGAACACCTATGCATCGTTGAAATGACACTGCTTTTAGGCGTCCATTCTAAGTGCTAGAAGAGTGCGGAAATGTCAGCTGGACACTTTTCTGGCTTTTCCCACCAGTGCTGGGAACCCAGCAGGAGGATGTCGATGAAGTGGTGCAGAAACTGCTGGAGCTGGTGCCGATGATGTCAGCCACAATGAACTTAAGACAGGACTTCAGGGAGGAGACCCACCGTCATGCACCGTCATTCACATACATTGAGGAGCTGAGCTGGCCTGGTCTGGGAGCAGTCCGGTGAGCTGTCTGGGCTGCTGGGTTCTGCTTCACTTGGTTTCCCACAAAAGATTAAGTTTTATCAACAGGATCTTTACAAAGCCACATGAAATATCAAGCCATGCATCCATAAGTCAGTCCATTTTATTACTTATTTATTTAGTTACATTAATTGTAATTAATACATTTCAGTTTATTTTAATGAATTGTTCATTTATTTATTTTATTAGATGGCTATCAAACTGAGAAAATAAGATGGTGTTCGTTCAGACCAATGACTGATCAGTTAGTTGTTCAGGCATTCCTCTCATGTTTTTCTCACTTTGGTTAAAGTCTAGCTGCTGTCATAGGAACCTAAAGGAGCATTGTCTTTTAATTGTCTTTTGTCAAGTTATAAAAAGTTCACTGGACTCTGTCAGGTTCTTAGTTTATTTGCATCTAACCCCAAGTTTTATATGTTATATGTGAAACAATGCCACAGTGTTATTTTTTTTCTTCAAAGCATTTCCTTTCTGACTTCCTCTGTACTTCATAAAAAAATAAGTATTAACATCACGAAGGAAAAACATCAGGAGCGACCTAAAAAAAAAAAAAACATTTAACACAGCATTCTGCCAAGGTCAGAGTGTTCCACATCCAGAAAAATGACAAAAACCCAAATAGGTCAAAACTCTGAAAGCTTTGGTTAGCATCTTCAGTGTAAAATCATAGAAAAACCACTGGATGAGTATGGCTCATTTCCAAGAGGGCAGAACAAACACTGAAAACATGGCAGCAGAGCAAAGAGTAGATTTGTAAAGCTGCATCTAAATTAAGTACAGGAGCTGTGGAATCTGCTGAGTGGTTGAATACATTTTCTGATAGATGTAAGTCATTTTAGAAGACAATAAACATTGCATTTTATTATCGTGATATTGATGGGTGAACTTGTTTTTGACAAAACCTTTTTATTGGTCGTCTAATCAGCCTGTATGTCAATAAAGAAGCTATAGAAACCCAGACCATCTGCAGAATGATGCTGTGCAATAAAAGTGACTTGTTCTTTATTTACTGTCGTCCACTCGGTCAGGCAGGCTCTGTGAAAACAAACAGGTATGGAGGTGTAAAGTCACCTCCATGACTTTACACCATGGCGGTGTAAGCACGTATGTTTGTAAGCATGCACACCTTTCTGAGAATGTGGTGATGTCCAGGTATGAATCCCAGGCTGAAGGAGCAGACGAGAGCAGGAGGAAACAGGAGCAGAAGAAAATCAACGATGCACTGCTGACGAAACTACAAGAGCTTGACACAGACATCTTTTTCTCCACTGGTCGGTTCCTTAACATCTGTGCCCCAATCTAGTACATTGTGTTTTATATTCAAACTTTTTCCTTTCTCTTTTAATCCTATGTCAGGCCCTGAGTTTGTGACGGAAGAGAACTGCATCTTTGTGGGCATGGTGACAGATGATGTTGATGTGTCAGAGCTGGTGGACACAATATCCACACTGGGAAGAGACATAGAGGAGAGCGGAAGGGTAACTGCTCTGTTTGTTCTGTGGGATGCATGAAGGCAGTTAGATGGTGTTTTCCTACCTGGTTGTTCAGTAAACTCAGTTTAATTGGGGACCAAAGCTATAATGTGTGTTACATTTATTGCTAGTGCAGTTTGCTTTCACACTGCAGAGTCAAATGGAAAACCTGTAATCCTCCTCACCTGTGGGGGCGCTATACCAAATAGAAGGAAACAACACAAAAACGAGACAAGCACTGATGCATGTTTTTCACTTCTGATACAGATAACTGATATCTGAGATTCAGTATCGGCCAGAGGTTTGGTATCGGACAGAAAAACAATTGACTCAAAGTTTTTTAAACACTTACATACAGTTAGGGCCAGAAATATTTGGACAGTGACACAGGTTTTGTTATTTTAGCTGTTGACAAAAATATGTTCAGAAATAAAATTTATATATAATATGGGCTGAAAGTGCACACTCCCAGCTGCAATATGAGAGTTTCCACATCCAAATCGGAGAAAGGGTTTAGGAATCATAGCTCTGTAATGCAGAGCCTCCTCTTTTTCAAGGGACCAAAAGTAATTGGACAATGTACTCCAAAGGCTGCAAGTAACTCAAAAGGCCTTTCCCTCGTTAACCTGTAATCAAGTAAGTAGTTAAAAGGTCTGGGTTGTTTCCAGGTGTGTGGTTTTGCATTTGGAAGCTGTTGCTGTGACCAGACAACATGCGGTCAAAGGAGCTCTCAATTGAGGTGAAGCAGAACATCCTGAGGCTGAAAAAAGGAAAAAAATCCATCAGAGAGATAGCAGACATGCTTGGAGTAGCAAAATCAACAGTCGGGTACATTCTGAGGAAAAAGGAATTGACTAGTGAGCTTGGGAACTCAAAAAGGCCTGGGCGTCCACGGAAGACAACAGTGGTGGATGATCGCCGCATACTTTCTTTGGTGAAGAAGAACCCGTTCACAACATCAACTGAGGTCCAGAACACTCTCAGAGAAGTAGGTGTATCTGTCTCTAAGTCAACAGTAAAGAGAAGACTCCATGAAAGCAAATACAAAGGGTTCACATGTAGATGCAAACCATTCATCAATTCCAAAAATAGACAGACCAGAGTTAAATTTGCCCAAAAACACCTCAAGAAGCCAGCCCAGTTCTGGAAAAGTATTCTATGGACAGATGAGACAAAGATCAACCTGTACCAGAATGATGGGAAGAAAAAAGTTTGGAGAAGAAAGGGAACGGCACATGATCCAAGGCACACCACATCCTCTGTAAAACATGGTGGAGGCAACGTGATGGCATGGGCATGCATGGCTTTCAATGGCACTGGGTCACTTGTGTTTATTGATGACATAACAGCAGACAAGAGTAGCCGGATGAATTCTGAAGTGTACCGGGATATACTGTCAGCCCAGATTCAGCCAAATGCTGCAAAGTTGATCGGACGGCGCTTCACAGTACAGATGGATAATGACCCCAAGCATACAGCCAAAGCTACCCAGGAGTTCATGAGAGCAAAAAGGTGGAATATTCTGCAATGGCCAAGTCAATCACCAGATCTTAACCCAATTGAGCATGCATTTCACTTGCTCAAATCCAGACTTCAGACGGAAAGACCCACTAACAAGCAAGACCTGAAGGTTGCGGCTGTAAAGGCCTGGCAAAGCATTAAGAAGGAGGAAACCCAGCGTTTGGTGATGTCCATGGGTTCCAGACTTAAGGCAGTGATTGCCTCCAAAGGATTCGCAACAAAATATTGAGAAAAAACTTTTTTGTTTGGGTTATGTTTATATGTCCAATTACTTTTGAGCTCCTAAAATGTGGAGTGTTTGTAAACAAATGTGTACAATTCCTACATTTTCTATCACATATTTTTGTTCAACCCTTTAAATTAAACGTTACAATCTGCACTTGAATTCTGTTGTAGAGGTTTCATTTCAAATCCAATGCGGTGGCATGCAGAGCCCAACTCACAAATATTGTGTTACTGTCCAAATATTTCTGGCCCTAACTGTAAATGTACTGAAATATATATATATTTTATCACTTTGTACCAGTTCAGTTCAAACACACCAGTAGTTTCAGAGCCTTGGTCAAACATGTAAAAATAGCACAACTTTCATTTGTTCAGTTAGTGCAATTAGATGGAGAGCAGCCAATTGAAAATAAATAATAAAGAAACTGAAACTGACAAATACATGGTTGACTATGCTGGTCAAACATGTAAAATAAACTGCAGCAAACCTTCTTTCAAATAGTCCTGAAAGTGTAATTATGAATCTTAAATATATTGTAAAATAAATTAGGCATGGCATCACTCAGAGCACAAAGCATAGAATTGGACTGAATTTACTCCCTCGTGTTATGTTTTCTACAGCACTTCAGCAGTTGTGATTTTGTCCTCTGCAGTTACTGGAGAACATGACAGAGCGTGTGAGGAAGGGCATCCTGGAGGCAGAGCTGCAGCTGCAGAAAGCCAACCAGGAGAAACTCCTGGAGGAGGTGTGTGTGCTTGTGTTGACGGAACAGATGTGCTCAATGCAGCTGCTAAGGCTCTCCACATGTCCTCTTCATTTGTTGCATTGTTGCCACTAAATCTGAATCTGTGTGTTCTAGGGGATGCTGAGGCAGCTTCCTGTGGTCGGCTCTGTGCTCAATTGGTTCTCTCCAGTTGAAAGCTCCATAAAGGGAAGGACTTTTAACCTGGCAGCAGGTACTTTACTGACTGCAGACATGTTCTGGAGCAGGGGTGCTCAATACGTCGATGGTGACTAGTGTGGGTGGATCACATGTCATAAAATAAATAGACGTTCATCTGTCATTCATCCATCAGTTGATTTATGCACAGAGCCACATTACCAGTTGGTGGCCATAGTGTTTCCTTTACTAGTTTGCCAACTGACATTATGACAAAGAAGAAGAAGGAGCTAGTTTTGCTGCGCTAGGTGCAGCAGAACTAGCTAGTTAGTGTGTTACCTCCAATTTTTAGCTCTTGTTTTTTTTTTCTTAAGCCTAAGAAATGGTCAGTAATAAATGAGGGAGCTGGACAGAGTAAGAAGACGAAAACGTGTCACTTTCACAAAGAATTAATCACAGAAAGAATGCTCAATGTATTTCTAAATAAATGTATGATTTGCATTTTTGTAGAAGGAAGATCATTTGGACTTGGTTGTTTTATAAATATATTGTATGCTGAAAAACAAAAGTATAAGCACCCCTGTTCTGGAGACTGAGTGTGTGTGAATGAGAGAGAGATTAGAACGGGGAAAAGCAGAGATGCTGAAGGTGAACGGACCAGGAGGAGAGCAGAGGCAGGGCACAATGGAGTAACTGCCCTCGTCGATTGTGTCCTTGGGCAAGACACTTCACTCACCATGCCTGCTGCTGTTGGTCAGAGGGTCCAGCAGGTAGCGCCAGTGCATGGCACCCTGGCCACTGTCAGTCTGCCTCACAGCTGCTGTGGCTACAACCCAGTAGGTCACCACCATCAGTGTGAATGTGTGTATGTGAATGACTGAAGGTAGTGTGAATCTCTTTAGTGTCATTTGGACTTGATAGAGTGATACACAAGTACAGAATATTTACCATTTAGGTTTTACAGAGCATTCACAGAAAGAGTCCCATGTCTTCCTGCAGACGGCTTCCTCTGACCACGACTACGTTGCATTTTTCAACCAGAAGTTTTTAGACATTTGACAATCTTCATAGGCAAGAATATTGAAAAAGTGACATAATTCCTCACCACTTTGTATGAACAGATAGTGGAAACAAAGCATTTCTGTCTGAGTGTCTTTCTTCATAAAATCTCAGCCACAAGGACATGCTGTGGTGGCGTAGGGGGTAGTGCGACCCACATTTGGAGGTCTTGAGTCCTTGACGCAGCCGTCACGGATTCGACTTACGGACCCAAGGATATTTGCCGCATGTCTTCACGCCCGTCCTATCAGCCTATATAAGGGACACCAGAGCCTGCAAAAAGCCCCCTGGAGGGAATAAAAACACAGCTACAAACTTCACACGCCTTGCAGAGCTCTGTACCAAAATGTACAGCAGATCTTGGCTCCATTTAAAGTGTTTTTGAAGTGCACAATCTTTATTTGGTGAAGCTGATGGTTTTCCATGGATTTCGGTAAAAACCAAAATGAGTCCAAATATTTGCCTTCAGTGAAGATGGGGTCAGTTGAATCTGTCTTTCATTTTTGTACTTTCCTCTTTATTGTGGTGCTTTCAGCACATGCATACATTCCAGTACCATTGCGACATCAGACCCGGAATATTCCATGTAGCTACACGGCCGACAGACTGCTGACTCGTTTTATTTATGGGTAGATGAATAGATGCCTATTTTTTTTTTTTTTAGAAGACTGTAGCAAAAGTATGTTATTGTGGTAGTCTTCAATAAAGTAGAGCCTTACTGTAAAGGTTTTTGATGTGATTGTTTGGACAGCAGACATGTTGATTTAACCTCTTTGGTCCTCAGGTTCTCTGGATTCCACAGACGTAACTTACTCCACCAAAGTCCAGGCAGGCAGGCCGTCCCTCCAAGACGTCCCCACCCTTTCAGCTAAGAGGCTGTCAGGTAGGCCACTTTCTGTTATGTACCAATTTTATGAAACAACTGATTTTTTGTTTTGTTTTTTGTAATAGTAAATTAATGTTCAAATCTCTGCTTCTAGACACTTATAGAAAGACTTTTTTTAAAAGATAAAGATTAATCTTCCTAAAACTCTATTGGTCAAACAAGGGTAGCTTTTCACACAGCTTTACATGAATGTCTTCTGTTCCACTACAAACAGTTCAACAGTCTTAAAAAAAAAAGAGTTGGACATGACAAGAACAGGAGAAAATGTGTCTTGCAAGGTAAAACATTTGCAGATTTTCTTGCGTTTTAATTACAAACTTATTTTATTGAGATTTTAGGTGAATGACTAACACAAAGATGGTAAATAAAGCTGACATTGTCCCAGAACCAGTAAAAAGAGCCCATCTGTCTTTAAGTTAATGAGAGGAGAAGTGCAGCTGCTGTGTGAAAAGAACAACAGAGAACAAACAGCATCATATCACCAAGTCTGTGGATACAAAAAAAATATAAGTTCCACTTTGCTTTCAAGTAAGACATTTAAGACCTAAATAGGACAGGTGAGGGAGTTTTTCAAAGGTTTGTCTCATTTGACAGTGCAGTGTGAAAGAGAACCAGCTGAAAATGGAACAAATGTAGCTTTGGTCTGGCAGACCATCAGGTGTGAAATCACCCTAAGCTCATTAGGAAGTGATACGATCCAGTGTAGTTCCCTGCTGTCCCTCTTTGTGTTGTCAGCTGGTTTTCATTGTGTGCTTCACAGATAATAAACGGCAGTAATTGTTCATGACTTTCATGTGTACAGTCAATATTGACCTGAAAAATGACCACAGAAATCTATGATTAGCTTCAAGTGCTAAGTTTAAGGATTCCATTTTTCTAGAAAACGTTCTGTTTTGAGGAAACTTCCTGTTTGTTCTCTGACGACGTCGACACATGATTCCTGTCACAGGTCAGAGGTTATTTCGGCGCCCAGGCGCAGGTTCTGACTCGATGAGTGAGACCAGCTCCGTCGGACCAGCTGACGAGTCATCCAGAGTGGAGAGCTTCACCATGAACCCCAACATCCACCCTTCCATGTCCACGTCTCCGCCTGAGGAAGCGGAGCACGCCGAGGCCTGCGTCAGACCACTGGCTCTCCATGGGAACCCAGAGCAGGTAGAGGCAGAGGAGGAGAGGCAGCCTGAAGGCCAAGAGGTGGATCTGAGTGGGAGATAGGTCCACTGCACGTCCAGGTGTTCTCCATCCGTCCTTCACACGCAGCCAGTCTAACATATGCTAAACCGAGACACTTGGAGTCCAACCTCTGCAGAAGGCCACCTGGGCAGTTTCATTTCAACACTTCAGGATGCCAAAACAACCCAACCAGTCCGTCCGTGTGACTCACTGTGAACTCAGATCAGTGCATTTCTACCAGTCTTCCTCTCTTCTGCCTTCACCTTTCTGTTGGTGAAATCTCTTGATGGCTTTGGGTTGGAGATGTAGGCTCATCACACATGGAACTGTTTTGAAGTCTTTCCAATAAACACCCCAGTTGACATGGTTAAATTGGGCCATTTTCATCTCTGATACATTTACATAAATATTTGCATCAATGAACTGAAGGATAGAATAATTTATTTCAAATAAAACGATGATGTCCTTGTAAAATCTGGCCCACCAGGTCAGTCCAACAGAATCACTGAAGAAAGATCATTTGCACGTTTACATCCACTCATCATGAGTTATTATTGTTGTTCATTCATTTATTTGAATCCTCCCTTTTCAAGGGTTGTGTAATTATGCAACAAACAACTTCAGCTTGGAATTTATTGCAGACTTTCTCCAACCCACACATGCTCTAGATGTACATACTGGAGCATGTATGTTCATGCTCTAGTATCAATAGTTCTAAACCACTAGTGTTGGCCTGTAACGCTCTGGACCGGCCCATCATGTCTGAATGTTTACAGTTAACAATATTCACCCCACTGTTGCAGACTCAGTGGCTTTCTGGCTCCATTTAGTGACATTTCAGACAATAAAAGAATTAATATCAGCCAAAATCAGCAGGTCAGGCTCTTTAAAGATCGGTAACCAGGGATCGGCTAGAAAACTGCAATCAGTGCTGCTGACATTCTTTGATTAAGAATGTGACCTTGAAATAAACCGGTCTTGAGTAATACAACACTGCCTTCACCGCCACAAGGTTGAAGTGAATTTATCTGCATCCACCTACAGCCCAGTGTGGATAAGAGAAAATCTACAATAAATATGTACTTTTCTGTCCCGATTCCTGTTTTTTTTATTTTTATTTTGGCAGTTAATTTGATCAAAATTCTGCCTTGGAAATAAAGTATTAGTGAATCATCAAAAGTCCCAAATTCAGATCAAACCCACGCCCACAATGATTAGAGCTAAACTTGTGACCACGACTCTAGTCATTTATACAGTCATTATCCATGACAAATAATAGGTTCATGCAAAATGAATGATCGATGCATTACGTTGACATATGTGTTATGCTTTTAAAATATTAACTTATATTTCTATAAAACCTTCTGAGCTATAATAAATAACATGCATATTTGCAATTAAAAAATAGTAGAAAATAATGAATTGAATTTAGTACAAAAAGGTGAAATCTGAAGAACAAGCCTGAGTTTTGACAGAATTCTAATGTAATATTTTCATGAACAGGAACGTAGATCAGACATTCCACATTTCTACTGTTACTGTCGGCCGTTATCCCATATGGTTGGATCCATAAAAGCTGAAAAACTTTAAAATAGACATTTTGTGCTTCAAAATGTTCATATTTACCAAGTATGTTCATATTTATTCAGTGTAGAAGTGTTTTCATGAGAATATTTGTTATTACAACTACTGATATCAGAAATGAGCTGCTGAAGTTGCACATATTTAACGTAAAAATAACTTTTAACACCAACAAATTAGAGAAATTAAATCAAATTCTCTTTAAAGCTGCAGAAGTGGCAAGATTCAAAGAACCTGACTTTTCTTTTGTTTTTTGTTTTTTTCATTTTATTTTTTTATTAATCTCACCAGTGAGCATTTCTAAATTATTTACTACATTGAGGGATATTTTTCTTTGCCAAGATATTTTATGTAAGTAGTGTGTGAAGAACCGGATCTATGGAATTGTTTGGGTGTTTGTGCTTTATTAATTTTTGTATTTTTTTGGGGGGTGGACTTGGTCGTAATTTTGAACAGTTAAGTTGATTCTGCTAAACGTTTGAAGTCTGCTTTATAGCACGCGTCTGCACTTTGATGATTCTGACAAACAAATCTGTTTTCCATGACACACGTTCAGTACCACGCAGAAATATTCATACCCTTTGAACAACATGACCGTTTTGAAACATTACAATCTCAACTTTAAATGTCTTTTATAGGAATTTTATGTGGTAGACCAACAAATAGTTCAATGTACAGAACAAGAAAAACAATGCATTTGTTTTATTAAAAAATTTAAAAAAAACTCCACAATTCTCTGTGTTGGTCTCTTACAGAAAATCCTACAAAAGCCATAAATGTTAGTAAGCAGTAAGGGTTAGTAAGGGTAAGGACTCAGGGTGTGAATAGTTTTGGACAGGACTGCACGCTGGTCATCCCACCCTTCACCATGAACTACTGGAGATCTAGTGCTGCTGGTAGAGCAGGGATGGATGTGCTGTTGGAGTGGGGCTGCTGCACTGGCATTAAGTTTCTAATTTTAGGGGGAAAAAATAATCAAAATTTCTTCTTGAATGTGTTCTCTCTTCCTGTGATGCAAACTTTTGCTTCAGTTAAGGTATCTTAAAAGTGATAAGTTGGTTGTTTTGAGGTGGGAATGTATGACCTACTTTCAAGCTGTCACTATCTTACTGACAACAAACCTTGGTCAGCTCGTGTGATGAGGACTTACTGTAATGAGATTGCATCTTATCAAAATTATATTAACATCTACTTATTGGTTATTATTATTTTCCATACAAGGTGAAAACTTGATTAGGAGGGAATGTTGGCTGTTACAATGTTGATTTAAAGGCCCAGTTTGGCTTTTCTGAGACTGACAGACCTTGTGCTTCCTGTTGAGTCAGTCCAACAACAAGACTTGGACTAAAACAGAAGGCTCTGACATCTTGAAGCAGCTTAAATGGTTGCTGGTCATTTTGTGCATTTTGGTTGTTTTGTGTCCAACATTAGAAAGGAAAAAAAAAAAAAGCTGTCTGTCATCGAACGCTTTGTATGAATTGCACATCTATTCCCACCCATCCTGGAAAATTTAGTTTCAGTTTTGACAAGCAATGACTTCCACTAATCTCATAATCAAACTATTCTGTAAAATGCGGTTGTTTATCAGCAGCGGGTTTGCTCCGGGTTATTTTGGATCTAAAAAGTCAGAATCTGCTATATTTGAAAATCAATGACCCAAACGGGAGACAGCATATCTTGTTGAAGGAGAATACTGTTTGTTATAAAGTTTCATTGAAACCCCAAATTATTCACACTGGTAGATTTGGATTTAAAATTATTTGTATTCAACTTCTAGGCTGCTTAAGTCAGCCTAATTCTCTGGTCACTTAAGATGAAAATCATCTTGGCCTGGAGACCGCTAAAAATAATAATCCGTGTGTAAAAGTTGCAAACATGACCTGATAGTTTTTGATGATTAGCTTTGCGCAGTTAAGAACTCAAACGGTATGTGTAAAAGGAAATCTGTTCAGTTACCAATCACAGATAAGATATTGACTGCTCATCACTTCTCCACAAAACCCTATCACAAGAAATCCTATTTCTTTAAATGTGTTTGCATTGTTGTGCCTCATTGTAAACTTTGTATGAGAGGAAACTCTCAGAACGAAACTCTAATCTCCAAACAGTGAGAATGAAGGTTCCACCAGAGTTGCACATCTTCTCTAGATAATTATTTTACTACTGGGTTGTTTTTTTCTTATGGTGTAAATGAAACAGAATTTCCTTACTGATTCTTTCTGCCATGGGATTCTAATATAAAAATTATAAAGTTTTTAACTTGAAGCAAAGCTTTTGGTTCTTGTGTGGTGTTTGTCTCTGACATGCTTGATAGTTTTCTTTTGACATAAATTTTTAAGGTCAGTCAGGGTGAAAAAAAAAGTGTTCTAGTGATTTCACAAATCTAATCTGAACTTGATTGTTGTGACATTGTCATTATTACGTGCCTTTATTCTTCTTCTGCAATAATAATCCTAATCGCTCAATGACCCTATATTGAGCAATTAACTTCTAGTTTAGAACTTTAAAGGTTGATTTAATTTGACTGAATTCTACTGGAATTTTTTTCCATGTATTGTGTGTTATATTCATCTTAAATAAGAATGATCACAATGATATAATTTTAACTGAAACAGAACAAAAGAATGAACAGCTACTGGTAGGTTGTGATTTAAATGGAATGTTTTTGTCCCCTGGTGCTGCCATCTACAGACGGCCGCGTTCTCTCTGCTGGTTCACTGACAGAACCTCAGGTGATTCTCACGTCTCCAGGAGCTTATGTTCCACTTCAGTGCATCATTCATAATAATCACAGAAAAGCTTTTTCTATTTTTTATTTTCCCATCAAATGGGAAAGCCTCAGTGTTGATGGTTTGATCTAGAAAACCAAAGGTGTTGCTCAGATACTCCCAACATATTTGTTCTCATCTTTGTTGAACAGCAAGAGAAATATAAATGAGCAGAAACATAAAACAAACGCAGGTCAAATAAATATTAAAAGAGCAAAATTTCTGAGTTTGGGAGAGAATAATTAAAGAATACTACCATATCTAAAGTGACATCACGGAGTGAACTTTATTAGACCAAGGAGAGGCATAAATGGTGTCCAGACTTAAGTTTTAGCTTCTTCAAAACTATTTCTATTTTTAATTGTTGGATAATTGTGAATGCTTTGACAATTCACATCTGCATGAAAGATGTCATCCAGGGAACTAGTGTATCATACTGGACTCACTATCTCATAATAATGAAATAGCATCTCAAAATGATGAGATGCTATCTCATTATAATGAGATGGTAATGGTATAGAGTATCATTATAATTAGATGGTCTCATTATAATGACATGGTAATGAGATGGTCTCATTATAATGACATGGTCTCATTGTAATGAGACACTATCTCATAATGTGATACCATCTTAAACTGAGATAATGCCATTTTATAATAATGAGATAATACCATCTTATTATAATAAGATAATACCATCTGATCATACTGAGATAGTACCATCTTATTAAAATAAACTAATACCATCTTATTATAATGAGATAATACCATCTTATTATGAGATAATACCATCTGATTATACTGAGATAATACCATCTTATTATAATGAGATAATAGCATCTTATTTGAATGATATTATATCATCTTATTATTATGAGATAATACCATCTCATTGTAATGAGATAATATCATTATTATGAGATCATACCATCTTATTATAATTAGATACCATCTCATTATAAAGAGATACTATGTCATTATTTTGAGATAGCATCTCATTATTTTGACATATCTTCTCATTATAATGAGAAGATAGCTTCTCATTATGAGGTACTATCTTGTTATTTTAAGATCGGATCTCATTATTTTGAGATAGTATCTCATTAGTTTTTAGATAATTTATTTTATTATTTTTAACAGAGTGTCGGAAACGGGCTTCCATACATAAATAAGCATAAAAGTGTTATTTATTTTCCTCGACCAAAACCTAAGCGAATCTGCTGCGTTAAAAGTTAATATGAAGTGACGTTAACCATTTTTCTATTGCTTTACGGGGGATGTAGTTTGTTACTTTTAAATGTCTTCTAAGCTGAATGTAGTCCAGTTGCTCATAGGACTTCGAATCCCAGAGTGCTTCACGCTGAGCACGTCGACTGAAGGAACGCCGCAGCTCACGCGGACTGTCTCTGGGAGTGCTGACTCGAGCCTGTTCTGAGGCGTCCGGACCGACAGAGCGAGTGCTTTACTGCATGTGAACTGGGGATAACATCGCGCACGCACTACAGGGACGGTCCTCACAGCTCAGCGGGACACGGCTAACATTGGGTTGAAGGTGGACACTCAAGCGGACCAAGAACTGCGTAGCTCCAATCTTACATGGTCAAAATCTAAGACCCACGATGGACCCGAGAGACACTGCCCCTGATTCCTGGGAACAAGAGGACGATGTGGAGGCCACAGTCGACGCACAGCTTGAAGCGGCATTCACAACCCTGAACGTGAACGCTAAGCCGTTCGTACCCAATGTGAACGCTCCTGAATTTGTTCCGCCTTTTGCCATGAGAGCGCCCACAGAGAACGCCGATGCTGCTGGTAAGTTCACCCCAGTCACGTTGGCGTTAGCCGTTCTAGCTAACTGCTAACTGTAGCCTGTAGCTTAGCGGGTGTTCAGACACGCGTCGGTTGGAGGGCGAAAAAGCAGCTACATGCTTTCCCGTGACGCGTTTTGTGGTCCACTTTGCGCCATGAACCTTTGATTTGTGGTCATTTAGCTGTTGTTAAACACAGACACAGTTTGAGGACACCTGAACTCTACCGGCACTTGGGTTTTCGCCCAACTGGCGGTAAACTGCTAGCTTGTTCGCTAGCTGGTGTGTTCCCTACTTAGCGACTGTAACTCAGTGCGTGGGTCAAAAGCCGTGAAACTGACAAATTCTAAACATTACTTGGAAAAAGATGTGATGTAGTGACATGTTTGTCACCGTGTAGCTCCGTGTTTTAAGCAGACAGTCTGCTACTTGGACAGAAATTGGCGTATCTACTTCGTCTTTTACGTGACGTGGATTTTCTGACGCATTTGTTGGTCAAGAGTGGAATAAAACATACGAGAACTGCTTGAAAGCAGTCCAGAGTCAGGGCAGTAGTTGTCATCGGAAACTAGTTCTCTAGCTGAACCTCAGTTCAGTTATTATTCAGTTTTAAAAGCTGGATCCGGCTGCTGGTCACTTCCTATCTTTGTCGGGGTTTATTCCGTTTCGTGACTAACATTTTCTGGTACGAAATAGAGCCGTTTGCCAATGAGGGTGGTTCGTGTTCATAGGGCTCATGCCTTATTTCCGGCTCTTATTGACAACCAGTGATTTAAAGTAATCCTATTGAACTATTGCCTCTTTCACTTGGCTGTGAGGGAATGTTCTGACACCAGTAAACATCTGTCTGGACTGAAATTACTGAGTTCTGGTCTGGTACAGTTCACAAGACCCAAACAGCTCCTACAGCCCGAACTGTGTCCAACAGTCTTCAGAAAAAAAATATTATTGAAATCTGGATGAGATTTGAAAATTTATCTGGTTTTATTTTTTAAATGTATCAAAACACTATACCGAAATCTCACTTTGATTAGGTTTCAGGCTAATATATCTTTTTCTTCAGTTAGTCAAATCTCAGAACTCCCACCACTTTCGCTCCATAAATGCAACTATTAACACAAGAACATTTACCTAGATGTTTGTATTTGACTTTAATAGGAATCAGACAACTCTCATGGACAAGTTTGGATGCACAAATCAGGATTATCTTGGGATTCCTTCATTTTCTGTTCAAATCCAGAACTACAGCTTCCAACAGAACCTTGCAGTGCATCTTCTATTTTATATTGGTTTAGTGTTTAGAATAAAAAAGTATTTTGTTGAAGTGAGCAGATCAGACACCAAAGAAAACTGGAAATTGGAATCTGCTAGTAAAAGCCAGTTTATGCTTCTCTGTTGTAAGTATCTGTGTACAGGTAGGAAGGAAAAGAAAAGGATTCCAGCTCAAGTCTGCCCTTTCTTTATCCATACCCATATTTCTACACAAATTCCCCCATTTCAATCCTTCTTACTTCAGATTTATGTCATCTTTTACTCGCGGTGTATCAGTTTATTTCCTCGAGTACAATTTTTCTCGTTTGTATGTAATTATTTAAAGGTGAGGTATGACTCCAGTTAACATTTATTTTAATTCTGAGACCCATTTAGGACAAGTTGTTTTTATGAAATTGACAAGTGTATCCTGATCAAACCAGAGTAAGTGTGAGGGACTCTATCGGTCATTTCTAGAGTCATGTAGCAACATTTATTTGCACTAAGCCCAGTAGCTTCTGCCCTCTGGCAGGTATGAGCTTTTAAAAGGTGCAGTAGCAGGCATGCTGTGGGAGGGCACCTTTTATTTATTTTTTTTTACCCAGTAGTGATTGGTATGAAATGACCTCACCGGTTCTGACCTGTGGACGTGGGACAGACCTGTTCTGTTTGGAGCCATTAGCAAGTTGCTTCCAAAACACAAATTAAAGGTTCGGGTGTTCATTTTTGCCGTAATCATAACAAAGCTTTGTTTTTGAAAGACAACAGCATAAATGGACTACCTTGAGAAAAATCCAAACATTACCCTTTTTTTCCCCTTGCAGTTGTGAATGATAAAGTCTCCATCATGGACGTGTCAGAAAGCAGCGGTACGTATAACACTCCTGCCAGGCTGGCTTCTGTGTGCTCCATGTTGTTGTTGCATTCCTCATTGTTGTGACATGAGCCGACTCACACTGAAAACACAGCAGCAATGCAGCCTACAACAGCACACAGAACTGCCTTCACTATATATACATTCCTGACGGTCCACATCCGGCCCGCCAGCTGTCTTATTCTGGACTCCTGGCCGACTACCTGTTCTCTGCCGTTTGTGGTCAGTCTAGATTCTGATCCAGAAAACATAATGGATATCGATCTGTTCTGGATTTTCCAGGTCTAACGAACAACCATTCTAACTTTGGTCTAGCTTGAACGTGCTAAAGATGCGTCAACGATCTGTTAATAGGCTGTTACTATTGGCAGACAGCTGAACGCATTGGCCAAAATGACTTAGAAAAAAAAGAAGTTGGCAGTCTGCTGACTTTGGGTTAACATAGCATGCTGCAAGTTCACCAGGAAAATAAGGCAGACAATGAAAATCAATGTTCTGATGATATTGAACATCTGCGGTTTTAGCGCCACCTGCAAGGAGCATGGCTGTTTGATGCAGGGGTG